CGCGTGTATGTTGGTTTTTTTCTGCATTGTTCGCTTGGAAATGCGTAGTTAAGCTCGTATTTCGTACGCTCGCACGGTCACTCACCGCGTGCGCGAACGAGACAGCCAGCTAGCGCACGCTGCCTCGAGAACGATGCAAGGTGAGCTGCCCCGACGCTGACGGCTTAACAAGCTCACGTCTCTTTAGTACGTGTATCAGCGGCATTCGACGCGAACAGCAACAGCAGACCCAATGCAAGGCACGTGTACTTTACAATGAAAGGTGATGTTTGCATGCCAGACAAGGTACATTCAAGCGGTGTGTTTCGACAATTCAGAAGAAATTCAGCTTTACGGCGAGCTTAGCTATGTATCTCCAAGCGGACAGTGCAGAAAAAGCCAACGCGCACGCGGTGCATCATTTCATTTGCTGCCACAACGGTAGAGTTTGTTTACGTTTATGCTTGCTGTCCCAGCGTTCGATTTTGCAATCTTCGGGCAGCTTCGGGTTGTCTCGGGTTTCCCACACGTGACCACGACGCTATTTCCTGTCCAGACCATAACTAGCTTACTGACCCTCTAGCTAGCTCTGGCTGCCAGGGAGCTGCCAGAGGCCTAAAAATCGAAGAGCCCCAATGCATACAAGAAAAGCATGTGTTACCGAGATGTTGCACATTGCAGGTTGGTTTCAATACCAACAGGTTATTCAACTGGCATCGCAGTGCTACTGCTTACGTATTGTAGTTGTACTAACAACTGCTTTTCGACAGATTTCTAGCAACGTTGAAACATATCTGGAATATTTAGCAGAACCATGTACAGCCATGTCCCCGACTCTGTATAGTACATCTGCAGCCAGGCTTAATCCGTGGTACCTTGCGGAAGTTGTGGGCTTTGAAGTGGTGTGCCCAAGAGCACGCGTGCTCCTGGGCGCACATATTAGCATGCTGGGCATCCAGCCCAGCATGCTAATAGACATGCTGGGCTGCTTTCCACAAGAGTCACCATGTTGAAAGGTGTGCCTGTTTAACCGTAGATGCATGGTTCCTCGGGGCGCTTTCAGCACGTGAATTCCGAGAGATGAGGCATTTTGGCTGATAACACATGCCTGACTAGGCACTTTTTATAGTGCCTAGTCAAGTATGATACGGTTGGCATTGCAAAACATCTTTAGCACTAACCACTCCAGTTCCAAACTAAAGCACATTGCATGAAGGAGATAAAAAAATAAGCGCGCCTGTCACCACACTTTGGATTTGGAAATTTTACATACTTGCTGACACAGCCAAATGATGGCATGACTTCTCCAAAAGGCCATGTTCTACAAGAAGGGAGTGCTCTTTCTGGGGAAGTCACACCTTCATTTGGTCATGTTACGAAAGTATGTGAAATTATAATTTGTGGCAGCAGGTGCGCTTTCTTTACTTGCTTCGTGCACTTTGCTTCAGTTTGGACCTGGAGTGGCTGGCACTGAAGAAATATTGCAATGCAAAGCGTTCAGCAGCCCACATCACTGAGGCAAACTGGAACCTGAAGATGAGGCATGCCCGCTGTTTCATACTGAAGATGCCTGCTCGCACGACCTGGGAAGGCCTCAATGGGCTGGAAATGTTCACATTGGAGAAAGTGTACGCTATGTACTCAACAAAGGTCCAAAATTTAGCCACAAACCTTTGTTGCTGGCTCACTAATTACTGACATTGCACCGACGAGTTGTGGCAAAAGTCGATGTCGCAGTTAAGGGCTATTGTTTACAAGACAATGTGTGAGCTCTAGCAAGAACAGGGAATAACCCTCTTCATCGGGAGGATACGTTGGTGGGTGTTGTCATTCTTTAAGTCCAACAATTTGTGCCCATTTCAAGTGGATAAAAGTAGTGGCTCCATAGCGATGGATGTAGATTTGTGTAACTTCAAGGCAAGACAAGCAGTCTACATGAACTTCGTCAGGTTAAAAGTCATCAAAAAAAAAGTTTTGAAAAGCAAGGCAGTGGCTCTGAATAAAGACTTGGAACTTGCACAACTAGCAGAGTCTATTGCATACTGTAGCTAGCAAAAAGAACACCCTTTCTGTGTTTTGTACGGCCAAGATGCATAAGCCGGGTGTTTCATTCAGGACAATTGTGAGTTATTGAGGTATCTGGCAGAACGTGATTAGTCAGTTTTTAATGAAGCGGCTAGACTAGGTTGTCATGAGAGACCCATTTTAAACTGAAAATTTCCCATGTGTCATCCACTTTCTTCAAAGAATCCTTCGATGGGTACTTTGTTCTTGGTTCATGTTGAGAACCTATCGCTTTCTTCAAAGAATCCTTCGATGGGTACTTTGTTCTTGGTTCATGTTGAGAACCTATTTTATTCTGTCCTGCACAGTGAATTGTTTTTCTACATAAGAAGTTGCACAGACGAAAGTGGTGTGGTTGCCTTCAGGAATGCTGCGGGCACGGCAGTATAAGCTTTTATGGCCCTTCTCAAGTTTTATGTTAAAGTCAACTTCATTAGCAATTTTATATTCAAAGACAGGCATTTTTGTAGGCTCGTATGTTGCTCCTGTGTTGTGCAATTTTTTATGTTTGACCATAACCGCTTTTATTATGTTCCACCAACATTTTAATTAGTGGGAGGTTTTGAAAGTTCTTACGTATGATGATAATTTTTTATTATTTTAAGGCAACTAACCACCATCACATATTAGCCCTTTGTTAACAATGTTCTAGCAGGCTTTCGCAGACTGAAAAAGGATTGCATGAGTTGAAGGCTTGTGGCTTTTTGCAGTTTTCGGCTTAGCGCATTACCTTGCAGAGTCGTCACGACTGTTGGCTTTTTTTTTTCTAGGTGTGTTGAAAAATTGCTTCCATACGAGTTGACGCATTCTAAAACTGTGAAAAGGGCCATAGCTGAACAATTCCCAGACTATGTGTGTGCAGGGTCGTGCTCACACATTATGCAGAAGAATTTTCAAAACCAATTGGACAGGTTGCCTGTGGTTGGTTTCCTTTGCATGCTCCTTAATGCTGTAGCTGAGTTGCTCCACTAGACTATCAAGAGAGAACACCACGGTACTGGGGTAGAGCAAGAGCGCAGAACAGCGAGAAATGAGGTTGTACCGTGTACGCACCGAGCTGCACACGACCTAAAAATGGTTGCCAACAGAGATGGCATGCCGATTTTTTTTTCTGCGCCACGAAAATCATCTCAGCTTTCTCATGTACACTATCTGATGAAAGCAACAAAGGTGGGTACGGTAAGACGCACGCCAATCATACACAAAATGTGTCAACGTGGTCGTTTATAAATTTCCACTATCCGACGGCAAAAGATGAATGGTGGCCGAGCAAGATTATGCGTGAATGAGCATGCACAGAAACATGAGCTTTCGTTAAAAGATAAAGATGGGGCGATTCTCATAAGTGTGAGCCGTACCTAGATAAGGTTTGGATTATTGGCAGAAGCAGACACACAAGTACTCGAGAATGCATGGATGCATTCGGTACAAAATCACGAGGTTCATTAGGTATCAGTGATACTACTTTGTCTTTCTGGTAGATAGAGAACAAGTTCACAGATTGTGATTAGTTAGTATGCTCTCAATGTGAGCCTAGCTTACTACACACGTTTCAAGTTTGGCGCTGCTGCGCCAAACTTGATCAGGCGCAGCAGCGAAAGACCTGTCGATCTCGATCAAAAGTATTCGAGTGACACTAGTATTAGTCACCGCTAACTGCCCAAACTAATCGGATCAACAGCCGTTATCTAACTTTGATATAAAAGGGTACGACATAGCAAACAAGAACCCGTGTGTCAGTGGTGTCAGTACAGTGCGTCAGACCCTAAATCTCATTCGGAAGTATGTCTGCATAAACATGATCACGCCTACACGGGAGTAATTCAACGCTACGGCTCGCATGAACCAGCCAACACTAACGTATCATCAAATGTGGAGGGAACTAAATTTGTCATCAAACCACCTCACAGCACACACAAGACAGCCAGCACATATCACATCGACGCAGGATGTTGGTCACTCAACGCTACCGCTTGCACGAAACACCCACGGCGCTCGATCATCACCAGATTCGCAAGGAATAATACCGCAATCCATAAACACCGCCGCACAACACCAAAATCAACGTTGACCGAACTAGAGGAAGCGCCCAGAGATGTTCGCGCGATTTGGGTGCCAAGGCAGCGCGCAGTCGCCAAAAGAGCACCTAGTCGGCGACTGCGCGCAGTCGCCAAAAGAGCACTCGCAACGCCTCCTAGATTTCCAGGAGGCGTTGGTTCACGTCATGGCTCGCCAAGGTGCTGCAGTCACCGGCTGCAGCGGTGCTGGAATGTCACGGAATGTAATGTCACGGCCCTCTTGCCAAAGGCCCAAAAATAGCGCCAATAGTACTAGTACTGTAGTACCTCTGGCTAGCTCTGGCTGCAAGAGATGCCAGAGGCCTAAAAATTGAAGAGCCCCAATGCATAGCCTTCGAGACAGCAAACGCGCAGCGAATCAGCGCCGGTGCGAGCAGAGCCAACGTTTATTGATATCTATAAACGTTTGTACAGTTATCAGGCACTGCGCCGTGCTCCCGACCAGGTTGCAGAAATTAGGTGCCTTTTCTCACCCTCTAACCACTACCACCACCACAGTTAAGATCTTTCTAGCCACTATAGTACAGTGGCTAGAATACACGGAGGAAGGAAAGGTGCTAGAATAGGAGTCCTATTCTAGCCAGTGTATTTCCGTGGCTCGGACCCGGCCGCGAGCGACCCGACCATGAGCAATGGGGTTTAAATAAATAACCTTAACCTTCTTGAACATGAGCATTGTGAACCGCATAGTTACCGAAGCCGCCAAGGTGTGTGCGTGCGTGTGTGTATGTGTGTGTGCGTGTGTGTATGTGTGTGTGCTTGTGTTTACTTCTTTTTTGTTTGTTTTGGTGATTAACACTATCAATCTGATGAGCTATTTCTAATTTTCGGTTTGTGGTGCTCGCATTGCTCATGACCACCATCCCCTGGTTTAAAGTTCAAAAAACAAATAAAAATGCTGTAGCGTTTTGGTTTTTTATTGAGAAACGAGGTCAAGACAAGACAAATAGTGACAAGATTGAGTTTCGTTTTTCGCTTTGCCTGTGCCGTTTACAGCATTCGTAACGAACAGGAGTTGAGAAGTATGTTTTGGACTAACTTAAGAACTACAGCTAGCTACGGAAGCTTGCGAGAAAAATGCATTGTTCAAACGTCACTTTTAAAGGGCACACCGATGCCCAAATTATACAAGTCGTCAATAGCAGAGCGAAGGACGTCTCCAGCTGCTTACTGCATGGATCAAGTAAAGTAGGTAACAGCATCATTGTACTCTCTCCTGCGCTGCGCTTAACATTACACTTGAACTTTATATTACAGGCAGCATGACTATGAGAATTATCTGTGCTCACTTCTCTTACCCGCTGGTTTGCGAAGAAGTGCCTTCGCTATTCGGGCGTTCAACGTCGAGCTCGCTCAGGTGATCATGCTGCAGTACTTATTCATGTTGGATTGTTGAGGGAATGTTTGTTTACAGTAACATGTTTGATAAACTTCAAACTTGCACCTCTCTTTTCTGTGCGCAGATTCGAGACGTTGTTTCAAGAGCGGACATCGGTGTGATGAGGATACACTTTTGGAAAGATGCGGTCGAGAGGGTTTACAAGGTGGAACGTCCTCTTGCGAATTGTGTTCGCTGGACTGGACAATGTGTTTAAATTTACAGGGAAATCCCCCCGAACATCCAGTCGCACAGGAGCTGAGCGTGGTGGTTCAGTCAAAACAGCTATCACGACATTGGATGACCAGAATGATTGAATCAAGGGTGCGTAACCTTGTAACCGCCTTTTCACTGTGACGGAACCTAAATTGTTTTATAATTGGTAAAAGCACAAGTCTAAAGAAGTTTTAGTTTTTATTAACCATACCAACAAAAAATTCATGCAATGTATTTTTTTTTTTACTTCTCGCTTTTGCTATGATCAGTATATGAAGCAAAAAACTAGTGCATATGTGATACGTTCGGCGTGATTTTACCATCATTTTTGTCACTGACATCTAAATAATAGAATGACCTTTCTGCTGACTATATAGTGATGATAATGAAAAAATTTTAATATTGTATACTAGCAAGCATTTCTATGAATTAACGCTAGCAGTCCTTAATGCTACTTGTATTAGACTTTGTTGTAAATCTGTACTCGGACTCGCATAGATCTAGATTTGTATTAGCAAGTGTTGTATATAATCTAGCACATTTCATTTTCTCTGATAGCCCTTCTGTAACTCACTCCATTCACTAATTTCCAAAGGAGGGTGAAAATAAATTTTAGCTACTGTTTCTCTTAACAACCGCTAAACTTACAAAGTTAAGGTTGCCTTTTACTAGCTATTAGAGACGTTGTCAATATACATATAGAATTTGAGGACATATTGACGATCATGAAAAGAAACTGTATAGTAATATCTGGGGTTTTACATCCGAAAACCATAATACATTTATGAGAGACGCTTTAGTGGAGGGCTCTGGAAATTTTGACCATCTGGTATTCTTTAGCATGCACGGACGTTACACACTACACGGGCCTCCAGCATTTCGTCTCCACCGTCAAAATGTGACCGCCATGGCCAGGATTGAACCCGCGACTTTAGAGTCAGCAGCCGGGCACCCTAACCACTGCACCACCCAAGTGGACAGGAAACCATATATGGCAATACTCTTTAAGAGGTGCTAATGGTATAGTCTAGTTGGTCACACATAATCGATAAAACAGGTGCACACTTTATAAGACATGGACAAATACAGCCTGTGTAGTGTACAGTCCTTGTCTCCTAAATTGAACAGTTGTTTTATTAATCAGGCAGTATTAAATGTGCTTGTACTTCATCTTGTAAACTTTTCTTTTACTGCAGTTATTGAAAACTGTTGAGTAAAACCATTACCAGCCTTAATAGTAGACTGCATGTGCATGTTGATAAAATGCATCATGTTGCTATAAACCTGAGAACAATCAAATGGGCTTTCTGGTCGGGCGCTAAAACTCGAGACATAGTTGTCTAATGAGTTTGCCTTATGAACAAAAGGGTCATCATTGGTGTGATGTACAGTTTAACAGATATCTATTTTTTGATCACTCAAGTTATATAGGCACCAATGCTTTAGAGCTTTTCATATGCAACAGCAGTGCCAGAGCGCTCAGCTCAGTAGACAGAAGTAAAATTAGGCTGTGGTTGGGTTAGAGAAGGACATGGTACGCTCATTTCCCTCCTTTCAGTCATACATGATTAGGTGGCATTGATAAGTAACTTGGGGCAGGAATTGTAACTCATGATTATTGAATTGAACAAGGAACGAAGCAGAAGAGTAGGTATGAAAATTATTATGCATAAAAATAATTTAATGTGTAATAGTCTCGGGAGAGAGCAGTGCTTTGCGATAGGCAGTGAGGCGCATGAAGTAGTAAAGGAATATGTCTACCTAGTACTGGTTGCAATCGTGGAGCCGAACCATGTGAGTGAAAATCTAAAAGAATAAGGATGGGGCTGGAGCGGATTTGACAAATGGCTTAAATCATGAATGGTAGTTTACCACTATTCATCACGAGGATGGTATGTAAAAGCTGCGTCTTCCGGTACTTGTGGAGCAGAAACCTGGAGGCTTACAACAACAATATAAATTAAATCGAGGACAACACAGCAGGCAATGAAAAGAAAATTTATAGGTGTAACCTTAAGAGACTGGAAGAAATCAGGGTAGGTCAGGGAACAAGTGAGGGTTAAGCATATTGCATTTGAAATGAAGAAGAAATTGACATGAACAGGGCACATAGCATATGGGCAGGGTATCTGCGGTTCATTAAGGTGACTGTATTTCAAGAGAAGGAAAATGTGTGATGGGTATACAGAAAGTTAGGTGGGCAGATGGGATCAAGAAGCTTGCGGGTATAATGTTGCAGCAACAAGCACAGGACAGAATTATTGGCACATGAGAGAGACCTTTTCCCTGTAGTGGGCATAGTCAGGCTGATGATTATGATGAAGGTCGACCATGGTCAGATCTGACTGGCCTGGGGTGCACGTTTAATTTCTTTAAGCATAATTTCCAGGCAAGCTGTGGGCAAGGCCAGAGGGTGGGCATACACACATATTATTTGCTTCTTACACCTGGCAGACAATGTTAGAAAAAGTAGACTGTTTAATTAAAGCTATGGGTGCTACAAGCTTATAGGCACATACAATATATGGTGCCTATAAAAAAATTCAAGCTCCTTACACAATGCTGCTACTTAATGACTTTGTGCATGAGAAACCTGACTCTTGACTACCTCCTAAAACTGTGGCATAATCATTAATAGGCTCTCCACTGCTCATGATGGCCGGCACCTGTGGTGCATACTCAGTTGTTGGAATGGTGTTGTACTGTGAGTTTGCTAAGGTAACACTCTGGGCTTGTTGGTGTGACATGACACATGGTAAATGTTCAAAAGACGAGGAGAGAGAAAAGGCGTGACAAAATGTTGTGAGTGCTCGTGTGTGTCAAGTCTGTTCCCTGTTCACATCTTCTGTGCATTTACCCTGTATGACTGGATGAGACTTATTGTGCACGAATAAATAGGAACAAAAAAAAAAGCATACGTGACACACAAAGGTGCTTGTGTGTGTCATGCCTTTATTTTTCTGTGTTCTTTCATGAGTTAGTATAGGCCTCATGATGTTATACCAACACACCCAAAACACTGTTAGTGCTTATTTTTAGGAATTTAGTTAGGGCACACAAGCATTGCAGATAGCAAAGTTCATTTATAACCTTCTGCATTTTTTGGCCTGCCCAGCAGTTTTCACTGAAACATATGCAGCAAAAGTGCACGCAGTTGCTACCTGCATGAGCAAGTGGTAGTAGCTGCTGGTGGAAGAATATCTGCCATGTGACAGAAGGGTTGATGAAAGCAAAAGGAAGCACTCGAAAGGATGTATAGGAAATTGAAAGCTTTGGTGATCTAAAGCTACATTCTCAAATGCCTTGCACATATACTACATATCATCGGAACCAGTTGGAAACACTGATACTAGTTGTCGGACAGGCACATATAATCGTCTATCAGGAACCTAGTGTTATTTTTCTAGTTGTATAATCAGCTCTTGCTCTGTTCTGCTTTGACATGCTGGGAAATTGTGTAATATTTCAAGTATGAGAAAACTTCCTTTTTTGCTTTCTCAGGAAAGTACACTCGGTGACAGGCCACATAGTACCTTGACTGAGCTCGAAGAATATGCCGAAAAAAGTGTGTCCTGCACTCTCTATCTCATTCTGCAAGCCATGGGTGAGTGTGGAAGCATTGTTTCAAAAAAAAAACTTTAAAGTTATCATCTTCTACTTTCAGATGAATCTTCCCTTTGTAAAATTTTTGTAGGTTTGTAAATTTTTACCAATTTGAATTTTTAAATATATAGAAAGAAAACTCGCTTTTCTATCCTGAATAAAAAACTCATCCATCTTTACTCTAAAGTGACCCTCCCACCATCACTCACAAGCTTTACGCAATAAATGTGTTTTTTTCTCTCTCTCTCTCCTGAATGCTTCCAGTTGAACATGATTTAAAAATCTTGCAACACTGGTTGCTCTTCAAAACCTTGGCTTGAAAACGAGATGAGGTGCTGACTGGTTCAAGGGGCCCTGCAACACTGTTCTAGTAATTATTGAATGACTATATTAGAAGAGCCTATTGTCGTGTGGATCGGCTGCCATCGTCGGTACAAGTCGAGCTACAAAACTTTGTATTACACTCCAAGTGCTTTCTCTATTTTTTCGTACCAGTGAGTGCACTGAAAGATACCGTGGGGGAGTCAAGGGGGCAAGAGGCTTTGTTGGTTTGTCAGTGTGTATCATGACCTTGAGTACTTTCTTTTCTTTTGTTCCTTTGAATGTGCAACTTACCTTCAATGTGATCGCAAGCACGGGCACGTCATGAAGTACCACAGCAGTCGTGGTAACTACGCAAGCTCATGATGCCACTGGCCGTGAACTTAAGAATTATGTAGCAGCCATTTGGGTTTTTGGCATCATTTGTCAAGAGAAGAGTGAGCAATTTCTAGCTGGCTTTCAGAAATAATTGTCAATTTACGACCATGTGCTGATCTGTAATGTTTGTCTCATACGTTTTTAGGAGCCTCGGCTACTGATTGACAGCATTTTTTGACCATGCTTAAGGGTTCCCTAAACCACCTCCAATATTATTTCAAATATTTCAAGTAAACAAGCGCATTGTGTGTAGAATTTCGTCGCGATCAACGATTCTACACGTGGTAGCGCTAAGAGCTGTCAGTGCTCCAGGAATTCCAAGAAACAATCCCTCCTTCTTTCTGGGGACCTTTCGGGCCTCCGCGTGACGTGCCGTAAAAACACTTATGACACGCCGTTCAAAGAGGTTGTGATTGGTCGACTTCTGGTTAGTCTGCAAGCAGCTGTCCGTGCTGCCAGTTGTATTTTGTCATGTTTCCTGCGCGCGTACTTACGGGTCTATCATGTTGGCGACCCTTCGAAGGTGTGCTCGTAACACAGGGTACATACCAGCACAATTCGTATAAGCACAGGCCGGCACAGCAGCCGCGGTTCGCCAACAAGCACAGCAGTAATGGGGAAGCCGGCACCGGAAGTAGAAAGTTTCAGCAGGTGTCAGTGATGATGTGGCCAGGAGAGAGCAAAGGAAGTGATCGTCGCGGTTTCGATTATGAAACGGGTCTAACTCCTCTATTACTACTTTGTTTCGAAAAATTCTCACGACTTCGTCGTCGCATACTCCTGCACAATTTCATCACAACAATTGAATTTCAACCTCTGGGTGGTTTAGGGACCCTTAAAAAAGTGTTGCAGGGCCCCAATAAAGACATTTAATTTAATAACATGAAAAAAAAATTTTTAACATGAAGAAAAGTGTGAGAATTCTGCACACTGTAGTAACCATGTAATGGGAAGCATCCTGCAGGTGACTTGCTACATAGCATCATTTTAGGTTGAGGTTCAGCAAAGTGATATCAGATGGTGAAGGATGTTGAAGTGAGGCAAGTGTATGAGGATGAAAGTGTGTTTAGGTGCAACTTGCTCCTATCTAAGGTTCATAAATGTTGCATGAGATTCCACATTGCATCAGATGAAACTGATGAAACACATTGCATGGAGTTACATATAGTTGAGCCATTTAATCCCCCTTCCTTCTTTTTTGTGTTTTTCATAGTGCAGTGTGCCTGTTGGTTCTGCAATTTTTCTCCTCGCATTATTAACTTATTCTGACAAGGTCCCACTGCTTTGTTAAAGATGACACCACAATATGCCTCATTTAACTATTTATGGCAGGCAGTGACAGGCTGTTGTATTTCGCATTGTTGGTGTGCAAATTTTGTATGTATTTACTACCAGGTGCATTGCTGAAAAGATGGACTGGACATGGTCAGTTGCTTGTGCTTGATGAGCGAATGCTATAGCGTATCATTATTGTTTTCTGCCGGCTGAATGCAGTTTTGCACTAGTTGATGAGCTAGAAGACTGTTTGAGTCGCATTACACGTAACCGTTAATTTGAATACGAAGGAAACAAAGGCAATTTTTCAGCAGAAGTAGAGTTGTATCATGTGCATGCACTTATTTAGTGGCAGTGTTCAGTTTGCAACACCATGTCCTTGCGATTGTGTACATTCATGGTTGTCAGGATTGGTTAGCAGCCTTCACATACATATTGTCTCAATCACCCAGCACAAAATAGTTTAGTTTTAGTGCAAGTCTGATGTACAGGATAGTGATTGCAGAATTGCCTTCTGTCAAGATACTGTGACATAAGCATATTTATTAAAGTGTGTACAATGTAGCAATGATGTATAGTTTCTGTGGAATAGTGCAAAATGTTTTATTTTATGTCCTTACTTTTACACCTTTGAATGTCTAAGAAGGTTCCACAAAATTGTCTACTTGGTTTTCCTCTGTTATCTTTTTAGGTGTACAGAATGTAGCATGTGATCACGTCGCAAGCCATGTAGGGAAACTGCAAGGATTAACAAATCTGATTAGAGGTATCCCTTTCAATGCTGCAAAAGGCCGCGTGTATCTTCCAATTGACCTCATGGCCAAGGTAAAACTGCTTGAAAACTATGCATATGCTGAAAGTTTTTGCTATAGTTTCTTGTAATCAAGGAATATCTCTAGTAAGAAGCGCTATAGAAAAGATTGCAAGGCTGTATGTTTTACCCATAGAGTGATTGCCAGTCTATCATAAGCACATGCTCATTAGTTTTACCGATGTACTAGAAACAATCATGTTTTAATGCTGGCCAGTACTTCTTGCATTGCACCACAGTACTCGGCCACTAACAATGTATCTTGACAGCAAATAAGAGGCTTACATGTCTTTGTTAGATGCACTGAGTTAGATACGAAAGAGCTGCCTCTTAAATCTGCCTCTTAAATTTGTGCCTAGAAGTGCCCTAGAAGTACTTTATGGGCTAGTTCGTGCATCTTCTGCATCAATAATAGAGTTAGTGCTAAAATAGCACTGTTTTTGGCATTATTTTCTTTTTTATATATAAAATACTGAAAGATAATCCACTCCACAATAAAGGTGACATTCGACATCTTGTCATTCTGGGCCTGGCACTGATTCTAAGGCTTTCAAGGCTTTCAAGTGCCTGGTATAGAATTGGCATAGGTGTCAGATGGCTGCACGTCTATTTTACAGTTTTCATACACGTGCTGATAATATTGTTTAAAGACAGTTCTTTCGAGACGTGGCCTTCTTTGATTTTCACTGAGGTAATAATGCCCTAGGGCAGAGATCGGCAACCTTGTGAGAGAGGGGGCATATTCTCATGAAGCCGACGTGGCGGGGGCTGCAAGACTGATCGGGGAGGCGGGGAAAGAGAAAAAACTTTGCTGAATTAGAATTGACAATACTGAAAAAAGTTGGTGTTTATTGTAAGCACTCATGTCACAAAGTTTCAATTTACAAACATAAATTACAAGCAAATGCTTAATTTGATGTATAAACTGCCATGTTTGCCGTCAAATAGGGAGGGAGACGGGGAGGCGTGGGTGTTCTGATCTTGTCTGGGTGGCCGCATAATAGTTCCACACATGCCACATGTGGCCCGTGGGCCGCGGATTGCCGACTGCTGTCCTAGGATCGTCTGAGGATACCCCTTATGGTAAAATGTTGAGACCTTTGTGTACAAGACTTAGGTATCAATGTCGACAGTAATGTGCCTCTTTTGTTCCACCATTGTACAATATTTACCATGCCCAATAGATCCACGATAGTGATCTATACGAATTGCTGGCATTTATAGTTCTCCCTCCTGCCCCCCCTAGCAACCACATCTGACCGTTTCAGTGATGAGGTCACTGGCATTTTGTTTGACAGCAATACTGACTTCTCTTTTGGGGAAGACTCGGCATATGAATAATCCTTCACGACCTTTTCCATGATACTTCTTTCAACATTCTCCTATTTTACTCAAAGTTTGTCCCTTTTTATTTTTTAACTTGTCTAATAATAATTGTAGATTTTAAGTTGGGTGCCTCCTGGCACATTATGATAAGTGAATAAGCAGGCTGTGGGTTGGAGTTATCTTGCAGTTTTGGGGGAGAATGTATTACTTGTCATGTATGTATGCTTTTAATGCAGTACATGAGGGGCTCAACCAGTTTATTGTGGGGCGGATTTGATGCCTTTAAGCCTTTAATGCCTGAATTATGAAACTGCCTAAGAAAAGAAAAATTGTATTCATTTTCCAGCTTTAAATAGCAACCTTTGTATGATTCCATCGTTCAATTATCTAAAAGGCACCTTTACTTTATACTTTTATGTATGTTGTGAATTCTCCACATGCCACAGAAATGAGGACCTTGCAATTAAAAACGTGCTTCAGAATTACACAACATGTTGTGTGCCATGTCTTGACCGCGTAGACACTGAGTAAAGATAATCATTGAAGATAGAACTTGCGTCAGCCAGGCAAGAACAAAGGAAGAAGTGGGCGCTCTTGCACGTGTTTTGCGCTCTCTGCAGTCTCCGCCATCAGCTACAATTGATTGATTTGTGGGGTTTAACGCCCCAAAACCACCATATGATTATGAGAGACGCCGTAGTGGAGGGCTCCGGAGATTTTGACCACCTGGGGTTCTTTAACGTGCGCCCAAATCTGAGCACACGGGCCTACAACATTTCCGCCTCCATCGGAAATGCAGCCGCCGCAGCCGGGAATCGAACCCGTGACCTGCGGGTCAGCAGCCGAGTACCTTAGCCACTAAACCACCGCAGCGGGAGCCATCAGCTACAATACAACTGGTTCTAGCATAATACGCTTTGCACAAGTTAGCACTATATTTTTCATGCTGAAAGCTACGTTCCACAAGAGTACTTGACACCCAGCTATAAAAGTGGCATGCATTCTGTAACTTGCTTGCTCAAAGTTTTTCGGTATATCGTGAATTCGCGACACCAGGCAGTAAAGTGTCAAATGTATGTCGGTGTACTTGTGAGTGTATACGCACAAACCTCAATATACCGTATTTACTCGCATAATCCTCGCACTCGCATAATTCTCGCACCCCCCACATTGCCCAAGAAAAATACGAAAAAAATTTTTCCTCGAGTAATTATCGCACCCCAAAAACTGCCGCAATAATGTCGTCTGCTCGTTCCAGCCACTGATGATGATAGCGCGCGCCATTTGGCGCCATCTCTTAATCATCAAGCGTACTATTGCACGGAGATTCAATTCAATCCAAGCCAAGCCGAAGTGGCCAGTGCGCGTTGCGGCGTGTTTTGTATGTTGTGTCAACTATGATAGGTTCCAGGGCCAATTTGTCCACACAGGATGTCATGATACAGTTAAAACATGATGTAGTCGATCCCGGGCATGGCACGGGCACCAAAGCCGTATTGGGGCTTGACCTGAATAAAGCTTTCGACAATGTTTCGCATGAGGCAATATTGAATAACCTATCGGAAATTGGCCCAAGGGTCAGGGCATTTCGCTACATCAGATCATTCTTGCAAGGCCGAACCGCAGAAATTTCAATAGGAGATATCAAATCGGACTCATTCGCGTTGGGAGGCTAAGGGACGCCGCAGGGTTCAGTTTTGTCACCGTTCCTGTTTAACATCGCCTTAATTAAAATACCGCCGAGGCTGGAGGAGATACCGGGACTCAAACAGACATTTTATGCAGATGATATTACTGTATGGGTAACCAGGGGTAGTGACGCGCATCTGGAAGAAACACTGCAAGAGGCAGTTAATATTGTCGAAGAGTTGGCAGGGGAGGCGGGACTTTCATGCTCTCAGCCAAAGTCCGAGCTCTTTGTGGTTCGGGACAAACCCAGAGGGCTACATGCAAGACACTATATTCCGCCACCGCCGTTAGAGGTAAAGGTAGGGGGTAGGCCGGTAGCTGAAGCTCAAACGATTAGAATTCTTGGCCTATATCTGCAAACTAACAGGAAGAATAGGGTGGCCCTTGAAAAACTTAAGACCACGGTCAATGCTACTGTCAGGCTAATCAGAAGAATCGCTAACCGTAAGAGTGGCGTTAAAGAAAAAGAACTCTGTAAGCTGGTACAGGCGTTTGTGCTCAGCAGGATTACTTACGCGACACCTTATATAAAGTTGGATGCCGCAGAAAAAGGTAAGGTCGAGGCTATGATCCGGCAAGCTTACAAGGCAGCACTTGGGTTGCCTAACAACGCGCCTACAGAAAGGCTGTTAAAACTAGGGGTACACAACACCCTGGATGAATTATTGGAGACGCATCTGGTGATGCAGCACGCTAGGCTTTCGACAACCAAAGCGGGCAGGATTATATTGGAAAGGATTGGCATTGGAGCAGAGGCTCCCACTGGGGACACTAAAATTCAGGTGCGGCGAGAGTTACATAAGGCCCTGTACATAAAACCTTTGCCCAAAAGTATGCATCCGATTCACCATACGCAGCGCAGGCAGGCAAGAGCCAGAGCTTTACACGTTGAGTACGGCGAGTACAAAGCGGCAGTCTATACAGATGTTGCGGAATACAGGGACAAAGACGCTTTTGTGATTGTGGTGGTGGACAGGCGGGGGCCCGTGGTCGCCTCTGGATCGGTCAAAACCCGCTCCTCGGAAACTGCAGAGGAAGCGGCAATAGTGCTAGCAATAACTAATTCGCAGTCAGATTTGATTTTCAGTGATTCAAAGAGAGCCATCCGAAATCTGGCGAGGGGCAGACTATTGGCGACCGCCGCACGATTTCTGCATGGGGCCACGGGACGAGAAATGAGAGAAATAGAAATTGTCTAGGTACCAGCACACTCTGGGAACCCTGGGAACGAGGCGGCTCACCTGAATGCTCGAGGTTTCGTCAGCCGGGTAGGTGAGCCGCCAGTTCCGGGGAGGTCCGCGAGAGATGGGCTGGTGTCCTTTCATGACATAATGAATCATTTTAAACTAGAGCGGAGGTTTTATCCGCCCCCGCACAAGCGGTTGACTAAGGCGCAGGAATGCGTCTGGAGAAAACTGCAGACGCGATCTTTTCCCAACCCTTACGTGTTGAACAAAATGTACCCGGAGGAGATTAAGCCGCAATGCAAATGGTGTCAGGCTGTGGCAACATATGATCACATATTTCGGGAATGTAGCATAGTGCCGCCGCCGGTGGATATTATGCATGATCCCTCTCTTGAGCACTGGGAGGCCGTGTTGACCAGCTCAGACCCAGTCGTCCAGTTAAGGGTCGTGGAGTGGGCCACACAGGTCGCCGCCAACCTTGGGTTGATGGCCATCAAACACGGAATCATCCTCAGTTGCTTTCTGACGAAATAAAGTTTTTCCATCCATCCATGTGTCGGTTATCTTGGCACGTTATGGGGCGATACTGAAGCCACACGGCTGCTTCAAGTTGCAAGTGATAGATCATACGCTAAACAACGGCAACAGGGACGCCGGTAGGCCCTTCGGAGCCTACGAGTTTTGGTTCGCTACTGGTGACGGCAGCTGAAAGCCATCAAGACGCGTTGGGCCTGCCGTGTGCCTAAAACTGGGATTGATGGTAAACTTTATTTCTTCAGAAGGAAACTGCGGACGATTCTGTTAAATAGCCATCAGCCCAATACTGACGTCCTACGCTTACCTTTTGAGGGCTTCTGTTGAGCGCCGACCGCTACCGCTACGCCCGCAACGCCCACAAGCTTCGCGTATGGTGTTCTAATTCTCGACTATTTGCTTCCAATTTTTATGTCTCAAATAAATCTTGCCTTGTGTTGAACCTCTACTTTTATTGTTGAGGTAAGTTCTAATTAGTACTTTGTAAAGCTTGCTGTAAGTTGCTGGTGTGAGAATCCCGATTTGCGGCCACTTCGTTTTTTTTTTTTCGCTCTCTGCGTTTTCGTGGAAAGTTTTCCCCGTGTAATTCTCGCACCCCCTAACTTTGCATCAGATTTCCGGCAAAAAAAGTGCGAGGATTATGCGAGTAAATACGGTAATGAACCCAGATACAACAAATTATTGGTCATAACGCAGTGAATGAAGAATAGTCTTGCCTAGAGACAGTTTTATAAAACTCTCTTTATAAAATTTCAGATATAACAAAGTTATTTTTCTGGCAGACATGATGTTATGATGAGGTTTGAGTGTATATGCAAACTAAAAAAATTTCATGAGTAGGGGGTAAAGCTCTCAACACCCCGTCTAGCTGTGCTTATGGTTCACATTGAAAAAACCCGATGTTGTCAGAGTGAATTTGATGTTCGGTACCCACCAAATAATCAGATACTGATTTCGCTGTTTAAACTTCAGCTGGTTGGACGCATTGTCAAGAGAGTTGGAGTGTAATATGCTTCCATAATAAATTGCAGGATATTAGCAGAGTCTAAACGTACTCAATTTGCGTTACATGGCCGTGTGGAAAAACAAACAAGTACTAGCAGTCTCACCTTAAAAAAACTCTGTGTAGAAATTTGTTTTCATTTGCTTTGTTTTTGCTGTATTGTAGATGGGTTTGGTTATGTTGTGCTTTTCATCTGTGTTTGTGGCCATGCCAGGTACATAGCCATTCTTAAAGGGCCACTAAAGGCAACTATTATTAAGTCGACGTTGATTGTTGAAATAGTGGTCCAGAAACCTTGTAGCATTACTTTTGGGCCAAGGAAGGCCCTGTTTTGAAATAAACTCGCGTTTTAGGGGTCTGCATTGGGTCAGCACACTTCAAATTACCCGCCTCAAGAAGCGGACCGCCCGAACTGACTCACGTCACTGTTGCCGTGCACAACGTTGCCCGCCTTTACTGCGGTAGTAGCAGCAGACCGAAAGCAGTGGGAGCCACAGCAGCAACAACGTCCATTGATCAATTTCCCACCATTGGCTTCGATATTGCAGACGTGTTTTTATTAAACTGTGCCCCGCTAGATGGCACCATCTGTCCAGTGTAACTACGCGAAAATTGAATTTTGGAATCACTCGCGCCATTTCATAGTAACGTCCGGTAATTCTTTTTTTCATGAATCAAACAGAAACGAACAGGCAGCATTTCATTGCGTCTCTTGATGCATGGAAAGTTCTTTATTTAGTGCAACTAGATCGATTACTAATGATTAATTGTAGGCGGTTCGTCTGATATCATCGGGATCATTTTGACAATGTCCTACTGCGGTGCATGTGTGTGCAGCTAGATGGATTACTAGTGTTTGATTGTAGGCGGTCCGTTTGATGTCTTCGGGATCATTTTGACAATGTCCTACTGCTGCGCTTGTGTTCTTGTGCATTTACCTTAATTTCTCACTAAGTAGGGTACTGTTGTTGACTATTTTGTCATTTTAGATGTTGTCATACATTGAGCTTTCACTCTGACATGAATTGGTATTTGACTTTAGTGTCCCTTTAAGAGTGTTGGCTCCAAAGCTCAGAAGAAGTCACTTTTACCTTGTGTTTAACGTCTTTTGGAAAAATTTCACTTATTCCTTTTTTCTCTCCTTGCAGCATAAGGTGTCGCAAGAGTCAGTTGCACATGGGAAAGTAGACTTAAAGGAACTGATATATGACATCGCTTGCACAGCCCATCAACACTTAGCTAAGGTACAGTGCAGTCTTGCTTGTTACTGTAAACTACTGCTAGTTGAAATGAATGATAAAAAAAAAAGAACCAACGGAAAGGTCCATTTTCTTAGATGTAATTCTACGAAGCCAAAATAAGTATTGTGGGTGTAAACAATAGTTTTAATTGAAGTGTGATAATTATAAGATAAAAGGAAATAAAAGTGGATGAAAAACATTTTGCCATTGCTGGTAGACAAATCCACAGCACATTCAATATGTCCTGCTCTAAGTTGACAAATGTTTCCTTGTGCACTTTCTTGGGTGTTCATGTATGTGCAACGCTGAGCCAGTGTCCCATATGGTTATGGTGCCGTAGCTGGAACATATTTTTTGGCAGATGACATTGCATAATATGTGACCTTTATGTATTGTCAGCTGGCCAATAAACCCTTGTGTGCTATGTAAAAGTATTAAACCTGCCAGTGTCAAGATAAACACTGTTAAATGAACAAAAGGGAATTGGCTGAGGGGCCAAGTGAAACCAACCACAGAGTCACTTCTGGCTTATAGGGTGTTACATCTCTCTGACAACTGCACCACCAGTGTGTGCTAAGAAAACCAGTCAGCAATAATTTTAGGGGCGAAGCTCTTCTTAGTCTAACCTTGTCATGCGTCACGTGTAACCGAGAGAAAAAGTGACCAGAAAGAAAGAAGCCAGTATCTCCCGAACAGTATAATAGACAGCGTTGTCTCATAGAAGTACATACAAACTACAGCTGAGTGAAAATATTCTAGATGGCGCTGTACTGCTACTCTCCGATTGCCTGCTGCACGGGCTGTGCCTGGTTACACGGTGAATGAGTGCCTCTCTGTCTCCTGGATAGTCGCTGTACATGGCAGATCGTTGGTGGGGCGTGGACGAAGCAAAGCGGCGGGCACGTTACAGACGCGCTCGGCTTCCTTTGCTCGGGTCTCGTCGATGTTTTTCTCGCGCCGTCTGCATTTTCGATCGGGATCAGACGCATGGACGCATGCATGGACGGACGGACACATGGACGGACGAATGGACACTTCGCCTCACTTATCATCATTCACTCCGTCGATATGCTGTGATTTTTTGTCTTACAACTTCATCCAGTGGTGTACTGATGCCAGAAAACTTATATACCGTACATTGCACGTGTGTTCATGCACACACACTCACAGAGAGAAAGAGAGATTAGTGTAAAAGATCCCTGCCATACTGAAAGGGAGCGGGTGCTATTTTCAGACAGTCTGTGTTGTTTTTAGTGCAACTTTGCATCCATCATAGCAACTTTAACTGAACTTTTAGAGCCCTCCACTATGGCGATCCTCATAATCATATCGTGGTTTCGGCCAGTAAAAGCCCGCAAATACTATTATTAGAAAGTACACGCAAACACAGGGCCGGTCTCAGTGCTACAATATAAACCTGGATTTTATCAGTACATAGTCTCTTATATTAATTGTGCACTCACCAAAGCTGGAGCCAACTATATTCTGTTACAGATCAAAAGTGTCTGAAGTGTCTGGTCATAATATGAGCCATAGAGAAGTTTTGACCTTATCTTTATGAATGCCCATTTAGTGTGGTTATACATGATCGTGCATTACGTTGGCTTTTTTCATTGAAAGATCCATCTGGATGGCTTGCCCATTAGGCGCTATTACTCAAGGAGCATGGTATTCACATGTTTAGACGGAAAAAAATGCTGATGCAGACTCTCTGTTCTAGTCACCCCTTCCATCTAGTGATGGTTCCTTATCTGTGCCCTACTGCGTGTCCTCACTGTCTGTCACTGACATTTCGATGGAGCCGAAAATGCTGTAGGCCCGCGTGCTCAGATTTGGGTGCACGTTAAGAAACCCCAGGTGGTCAAAATTTCCGTAGCCTTCCACTACGGCATCTCTCATAATCATATCGTGGTTTTGGGATGCTAAAACCCCGCATGTTAATCATCATTTGTCAGTGACATGCTTCTGGAGCACAGGAAAGACTCCTTGGTAGCTTCCCTTATGGATTTGTTACATAAGCCTTCATCACACCCAATCTCTAAAAAACTGCTCTGTCAAATGCATCACTTTTGTCTTCATGATGGTTTGCTGCACCATCGAAATTACCTTTCCAAGAGGCACTAAGGGCTTTTGGTTATTCCCCTTACTAATCAGCAGCATGCACATGCCACAGTATTGAAGTCTTACACACGCCTCTGCCATTATAATATTTGTGGTATGTAAATGTATAGTCTCAATGGAAAAAGATTGGCACAAGTAAATGGCTGCCGGAGCTACCAGATTGTGACACACGACGCTGTTTTTTCTGTGCACAACGACATCCAGAGTGTCAAGCACATTCCATTTTCCAAAGCAGCAGTGCCCAGCTGGCAAAACCACTCCGACAGACAGCTTTTTTGGAGCTACTACCATAAAGATACATTGTTCTCGGCTCCAGCAAAAAATTAAAAATTATGTGCTTAGTGCAATGAACAAGTGTTTCACTAAGATATGGGCTTCTGCATGGATCAACAGCCAACAGCATTGGCTGTTTTGCACCAGTCTGTCAGCCACCCCTCCTTTTGAAAATAAAATGTGATTGACAATCTCACTATTGGCGTGCTAATGAAGAACATTGCTGCACGTGGCGATTTTGTGGCTCAGGTTATCAGTGACTTGTGCATATTTTTTTTCAATTGTAACTGTACCACTTCGTCTGCCACTACATCCACTCCTGGATTGCTTGCCAACACTGGAAGAATATCCTTCCACATCCTTTAGTTTCTCTATATCCCTTCCCTTGTCCTGCGAGAGTTTTTTTTTTACTTTGTTTGCATCAATTTGTGTGAATCTTTTTCCATCGCTTTTGTTGGAAATCATTGGATAGTCGTCATCAGCCACCTCACAAGCTGTGTAAAAACTTCACTTCCGCCATCTGCATTGGCAAGTGATATCAGTTCTTTTAGTTTAGACCACATTTTTGTACATCATGGTATACCACCCGAGTTTCTCAGTGATCAAAAGTATGCATTTCTGTTGAATGGTGTCGAATCACTTCTACAGGAATGCCATGCCATTCACTGGACCACTACTACATACCATTCTCAGTCAAATGGCCTGACAGAACAATTTAACCGATTGTTGGGCAATATTCTGTCAATGTATGTCACTTCCGACCACACTGAGACTGCGTTCTTTCCTTCATGACATACACACATAATACAGCTACACAGACCACCACTGAATTCTTTGCTTACTTTCTGCTTTACAAACACGAGCCCTCCTGCATGTTAAACATTATTATTTCATATCACTCTGATGTGACTGAGTCTTTGACACCTTCCAAAGCAGCTAAATAAGCAAAAAAGTATTATGATTTTGCTTGCTTCCTCACCACTTCTGATCAGCAACGCCAGACACACCACACCATTACAAAGGCTCGAAGTTTCCAGCACCTCATATCCCTGGTTCACTGCAACATAAACCCACTGTCCATGGACATTGGCTGATTGAGCATCGTGAGCTATATTGTTGTCGCAGCAGCCACGGAAGCCACCATGCACCTGCTCACGCTCTCGCAATCATACTGAATGCAAGCAGCGCGTTCGAAGGAAGAAAAAAAGAAAAAGAGAAGGAAGCGTTCTAGGCTACAAAGCGTGCTTGAGAACGAACATAGCTTCTTACCCCCTTGTCATCCCTCTACCTCTCCTCACCACGTAGCTTTCAGCGAGCTCGCTTGTACAAGAGGAGTTATAAAGCACTTAAGGCATGCGTCAATTTCCTGCAACTTCGCTTGTACTTGGCAGATTCTAAATATTCTTGCAGGAGTTGATTCATGGGGCAATAAACTCATTTAATTAAGCAAAAGTGACTAGTCCTCTTAATTAGGGAGGCAATTGCCAGGCTGATTCCAAGGGCGGACATGTTGGTCCCCCAAGAGAGAGAGAGGGTAACTTTATTTTTATTCCATAAAAGGTTTCAGGGCAATTGGCTGGGGTCCTCAGACCAGGGCTCCACTGGCCTTTGCAACTTGCTGGGCCTGGTCGAGCAAAGCCAGCTGGCTTTCCCGATCCTTGCTAGCAAGCCAGGTCTCCCACAGCCTCGGTCGAGATGTTGTCCCCAAAAGAGAATTGACGTTTTGGGGCCGTGTTTCACATTCCCATGTAATGTGGGCAAGATTTGGCTGTTCGCCACACCACGGACAGCTTCGTGCTCATATTGTGGGATTTATGTGGTGGTTTCTTTGTAAGTGTGGGTACGTGTTGGTCTGTACTAGACGCCAGTCTCGTGCCTGTTCTCCGGTAAGATCCGGATGGACATGACTGTATTTTTTTTCGTTCTCCTGTTTGGTTTTCGAGGATGTCGCGTGGAGTTATTGGGGGTTCATCGAGGGTCGTGACCGATGCTGGGATGCTTATTTCATGAGCAAGCTGGTTGGCCTTTTCGTTGCACTCAAGTCCCGCATGCATGGGACACAATAGTATTGCATGCTCATTTTGTAGTTGCTTTCCTAGAATTCTCATAGCTTCCCTTGGAATTGCCTCAGCCTGAAACATATGGCAAGTTGATTGAGAGTCGGCAATCACAAGGGCGGAGTCTCCTTTTTGTTCAGCGCATCTGATCGCGAAAGCAACCGCCCCCGTTTTGGCCGTGCTGATTGACGGGGGTTTTACCGACAGTGCTATAGTTATAGTTCCTCTGGTCGCAACAACAGTGTAAATATTGCCTTGCAGTCTGCAGGCGTCTGTGAAGAAGGCGGTTGGGTTGTTACCGTAATGCTTTTGTAGTGTTCTTGCTCTAGCTTGCCACCAACCTGGCTGGTACTTAGCGCTCATATTCTTCGGGACGGGGGACGCCATGATTTGGGCCCTAATGTGGTGAGGTAGTATGTCTCCTCTCCTGCGTGTTGAGGTCGTAAGGGGTAGGCAACCTGCTTTAGTAAAGCTCTGCCTTGGTCCGTCGAATTTAATCTTTCCTTTTGAGATGCCAGCACGGCAGATGCGAGTTTTTCGTAGGTATTATAA